GGATTTCTGAACATCCTGAGAGCGAGGTTATATACGGAGTGGAGTTCCTTCAACCGCCTCAGTTCCTTCCACTGCAATGTCAGGGAACAAAAAGCAATTAGACTCTGACAAAGACAGGAAGGTGAGCGGGGAGTAGGACTATGCAGAGCCATCTTGAAGAACTCGAGTTACAAGTAAGTAACCTTCTTTTCCTGTTCAAGTGGCTCTACATATTCCCACTTATGGGATAGACTCAAACAGTGCTGAAAATAACTTGGAGGCGGGGACAGAGTCCTAACTCAATAGAGACTGAGGCACCACTCTACCAAAGGCAGCATCTGCCCTAGAGGCCAAGTCCAAAGCACAATGCTTACTGAAAATGTGAACAGAATTCCAGGTAACAACTCTGCAATTCTCCACAGCAGGGACTTGTTTAAGGGAAGCAAGAGAGGTTGCCACAGCGCTAGTGAAATATGGACATATTGTCCCTGGGAGAGGAGTCTCTGCCAAAGAATTAAACATTCAACAATACATTATTTAATGCACCTAGAAATGGTCTGGGAAGAAACTATATTCCATGCAATTTTTAGCATAAAAGCAAAATCAATCTGGATGATTTACAAAACCCTTTTTGTTCTGTGTAATAAGCAACAAGGATTCTTCTTTCATCCAAAGTAAGTAAAGCTGAATCAACCTTATTAGAATGTGGTTTTGAAAAACAAAACCCACCAAATCAATGGACTGATTGACATGAAAATCAGAAACCCACCTTTGGCAAAACCTGGGGTCAAGCTAAAGAACCACTTATGTTTATGAAAAATGATGAATGGTGGATCAGTCACAAGAGCATTTAGCACACTTACCTTTCTGGCAGATGGCATATCAATAAAAGCCATTTGAATAGATAAACAACGCAAGGAACACTCAGCAAAAGATTCAAAGGGTGGTTTCATCAGCATGGCTAGAACCAAATTGAGATCCCAAGAGGGACAGGATCTCTCAAATGACTATACATATTAAATAAGCCCTTCATAAACCTCTTAATTGTATTAAGCACAGTGATCTACCAGCAATTAAGGTATGATGGGCAGAAATGGTTCCCAAATGAACCTTAATGATGAATTAGATAACATCACTTCATATTTTAAAAAGATCAGATTTTCTCTAGAATATAGGGTGTGGATGCTGAAGCAGGAAAGATGCCCTTCCCAGCCATCCAAGTCACAAATCTGGTCCATTTTGATTTGTAATGTTGTCTGGTAGACTGATTCAGATTAGATACAGTCAATCACCCAAGCCATCAGATGGAGGACTTGCAGGTTGGAATGAAGAAGCCTCCCTTCTTGTTCAGACAACAGACCTGGTGACAGAGCAAGACAAACGAAGACTCTGCCAGACAGTTGGAAGAGACAGTATACCATTGCTGGTGTGGCCAGGCTGGGGCAATGATAATCATCCTCGCCGTGTCCTGACGTATCTTCCTTGCCACTTTCTGAATCAATAGAAAGGGGATAAAAATCATACTGCAGGCTCCTTCCCCACTGCAGTAGAAAAGCATCTGACAAAGACTGGATGTCCCTGCTGCCTCTGAAGCAGAAGAGGCAACACTTCCTGTTGCACATTATTACAAACAGGTCCATGTCTGGTCGACTCCTTCTGGCAAATATGTAGTAAACCAATTAATCCTTCAAGGATCACTCATGTTTCTGAGACATGTCTCTGCTGAGATAGTCTGCAGTCACACTACTCTCTCCCAGCAAATGTAGGATCACTGGAAACACATAGTGGAGGATGCACCAATCCCATAACCTTATTGCTTCTGCACAAAGAGGAGGAAAGTGAACACACACACACACACACACCCCTTTTGGTGACATAGTACATTGAAGCAGTATTGTCCATTACTACTTATTCCATCCTTCCATGCATGTGAGAAAAGAATGATCTGAGGGCTACACAGCTGGCTCTCAACTCCAACACACTGATGTGCAGAATCTTTTCCTGATGAGACCAATGTCCTCAAAGCACCCGATGATTCAGATGTGCCCCCCACAACCACTGTTTGGTGCATCTAAAGTTAACCTCACCAATACTGCCAGAGCATCAAACTGGACACTTCTGAAGACATTTGTTCTCTTAAATTACCACTCCAGTGAAAGTAAGATGAATGGTGACCCACAAGTGCAAATTGTTCCGGACTTGGACAGTAAACCTGAGACATCCTGTGCTGCATAGGCCTCATTGGGCAAAAGGAGTTACATAGGTAGTGGCCACCATGAGACCAAGGAAAAAAAGATTACTCTTCAAGTCGGACACGTCCCAGCATTGAAAATAAGCTACTTCAACCTCAGAAACCTGTCCTCCAGCAGAAAGGCTCTTTTTTCCACCGAGTCCAGTGTGGCACCTACGAACACAATTCTACGAGTTAAGCATTGCTTTGATTTGATTGTTGAGAAGCCCCAGGTCCAAAATAGATGGATTGTAACTGCAATATGGCTTAACGGGTCTTCAGGCACAGCAACCTTCATTAGCCAATCATCCAAATAAGGGTAAACAAAAATACCTTGCCCTCTCAGATGCCACTACCACAGAGAGGCATTTTGTGGAAACTCTGGGCACCTCGTATTGGAAATGGCATCCTGCCACCACTAAATGAACGTATGTGATGAAAGCAACTGTCATTCTGGGGTACAATCCTGACCAGTAAGAGGTTGTCACCGCCTGCCCTGTAACCCTGGATGCCTCACAATGCTTTGCTGTTGTAGGTCCTAACCTGGGCCACTCACAAACAGACTACCAGCATGCAAGTCACACCCTGAGTGTCTATAAAGAGCTGCAGCCCTAATCCAGCAGCTCTGACCCAAACAGCCTGTCAGCAAAGCACCAGTCACATTCTGGCTTCCACCAACCTTTGTTACGACTCCAACACACTCCCAGTCCCAGATTTTCCCAAAACGTTTGTTCTGCACTGTACAGACCTCTAGTGGACAGTTCAGATATTAAGATCCGTTGCCCCTGTAAGGAGTCAATAGTCAACAGTTTGCAACTTTAACTGGAGTTACCAAACAGTTCCATTTAAACACAACACTGGATTGGTTTAGATTAAAAAGATAAAACAAGTTTATTAACAAAAAGAAGATATACTTGAATTCATTTAAAATCCTAAATTAGAAATGGTTACAAGCAAATGCAAGTGAAAACATGCATCTAAAAGTCTAAAATATAATCTAGCAAATTCTGGTTCGAGGCTTTGTTCAAGATGGCCTTTCTCATCCATAGTCTTCCAGAAAGATAGTGACTGACTTTGGTCAGGATCTCTCCAAGAGGTCTAAAGGCATTGGTGTGTTTGTCTTCTTAGGTGAAAGAGACAACATGGGGTTCTTTGCCCCTTTCTTTAATAGTCCAGTGAACCTCTGAAGTGGATTCTTCTGAGGGTTACCCTTCAGAGTAAAGCTCATTCAAGCAGTAAAGAAGGTGACATGGAGTCTGATGGTGAAGGAAGCTCCAGGCTTTTTTCTCCTCCACCTGTGTGTTTGCTGAAATCCAAATTGTTCTGTTCCTGCTCTCTTTTCTCCCACTGTCTTTAGTACCCTGTTTACTACTTATATGTAAATTGAGGTAAGTACACATCCCTTTGTTTATAATAGACCTGTTTAACAACTTTTACCTAGGAAAGGCTGTGTGGTTTTGAATATGTGCTAGTATCATACAGGGAAATTCACAACTTCCCAATATTATATGTGTACATACATTTCATCACAATATTATTGACCAGTAAGTTATTATTTTCAAATGATACCTCACAGCATATTTTTTACAAAGATTATTACAATGGGTGTGTCGGGTATGGATACGGGGGTGTTTAGTGTCACAGCGACAAACTGAAATGTGAAAATATGCATCCTTTAAATCAAGAGTCACAAACCAAACCATGACCAAAAGGGAAGGGATTTATGGCAGTGAAGAAGATGAGTGCTGTAATATCTGCATTAAGAGTTAAATAAATCGTCTCAATAGTTTAGGGAAATACTTGCTGTCCCCTTCACTCAAATAAAGGAATTAGAAAAACCAAAAAGTTGAAGTTCTTTCCAGACCTTGTTTCCCCTGAAGTAATTTAAAAAAGCACAGCAAGGGATATAAAGCACATAAAAGGACCTTTTTCACAGAGGATACTACAAAAAATTCACTGAATAGTTACACTAATTTCTTCCTTTTTTCAAAGTGTCAGGGTAAGTACTTCTTTTAGATACAGATATAGGTGTTATTCCAGAAGGTATTATATACCCTCTGTTATTAAAGACCTCCGCAGAAGATCAATATGCTAAAATTAGTTGTTGAGCTCTACAAAACCAGAATTTTTAAAAGCTCTCAAAACATCAAATTCTACCAACCTTACACTGAGTTAGAGGAGACTGCTCTCCTGGTTATATTCTACATAGTGAACTAGATGGCAGAATCAGATCCAAATTAGGTTTCTAGGTCATGATCCCGCCACACTTACTCAGGCAAAGTTGTCCTTACTGACATGTGTAATTTCATTGTCCTCAATAGAACCAAAACGTGAGAATAAGTATTCAAGTGATAAAACTACAAAACTGAATCCTTAGTTTGTAGCTGTCACTAAAACATTTGAAATGCAAGTAAGTAGAACCACTATTTTATGAACTAATCAGGGATTGAGGAGTTCATAAAACTAAACTGAGCTTCTTAAAATTACAGTTGGTATCATGCATAAGTTGCAGTATGATGCATTGCATCACTTTCTTCTGGTCCTTCAAACACTGCAAGGCAATTTTCAATGCCTTGAAAGCATTGGCATGTGAAGGGATGTTGACTTGTTCTTCAATTACATCCCTTTCATTATGTGATTATCTTTTTCCCCACCAGGACAAAAGGTTTGTATAACTTGTTGTTCATAAGACTTGTGTTTGTAAAATTGAGATTCCACTGTATTTCAAACTGTGTATTATATATAGATGCCTTCCTCATAGTGTATGTGAACGTTTAACAGAATGTTTTACCTCTAGTCACAGGGATCTCACTGGCACGCCCAGATTCTAAATTTTGTAATGTAGCTTGTAAACCTGTAACCTAAAGAGTAAAAATAAAGAACAGTTATGAGGACATTGCTTTTGTACCCTATAACTACGAGTACAGAAGACAGAACACACATGCATACATAAGTAGTAAATACCATGTACAATTACTGATTTATCTAACTCGCTATCGCTGTTTAACTATATAAAGATTTTAAATTACTCAACTCATTCCATTCCTTTTTCAAGAAATAGCTCGAATATAACTCATTTTGAAAATATTTAATCCTACAATGATATAAAATAATCTATCCAGAATTTCTGGTGGGAATTTTGCATATTTATTAAAACAATGCAAATAAAGACAATGTTATGGGCCATATTGTGACATCAACTTTTAATCATAATTTTTCACTGAATTAAAAATTAACCTGATGACACAATATGGCTCACAGCATTGTCACAATAAAACTGATCACACAATATGGTACTGTACATTAAGGAATGCCGGTCATCCTGGTAGCCTAGTAGGTGGTAAACTGACCTGTCATGTATAAGCTCTTTCATTTTCATTGCATCAGAGGATGATTTTGCAAGATAAATCTTTTATTACGCATTTAAATGATTGATCCCTTCTTCTGGAGGTCAATGTATTGGCTGTAACCCTTCTTTTCCTCTAGGATATTTTCCTTCATGTAGACCTTTGTTCTCAACTCATCCCTGTGCTAAAGGGGCAAGATATCATCTATACCAATCTACAGATCAGATGAAACTAAAAGGGCCACGGATAGGCAAAACACAACTTCTCTCTCTCCATTTGGAGGACAAAGGTGTCTGTGTCTGGTACCTACCACTTCAGGAAGCAGGAGTTTTAAGATCATTCCCAAGTAGAAAAAATGCACTGTGTAATTCTCTAGGGTCTGAGCTAAATTATTTGGAGGTTAACAATGATCTTAGAAGGCTTAGATCATAGAAGCTTACTGATACTGCATCTCTACAGGTATGTTTTGAAGTTCCTGAAACTATTGGAGATAAATTGACATACCTTTCTTTAAACCTTTTTGACTGACAATATTTGATTAAAACTATTGTGGCAGCTAATAACCTTTAAAGATGGTTTCCTGTGCAGTATCCATAAGGATTAATAGAGCCCTGCGTTTATACAAAACTTGTATCCGATCCACAATCCACAAACATAGTCCACAGATGTCCGCAGATATAAAGCAGATATCCACAGATTTGCAGGGCTCTAAGGATTAATATATTATTAAAATTATAGTACTTTGATACAGTTTCAATGTAAGTCATCTGACTAGGTCATAGTTCCCCTGATGTTTCATTCACAAATATGAAAGCTGAAAGAATGATTAAAAAGAAGATTCCAGTACGCCCATTCCTGTTGTTAATTTGTTTAACACAGTCCTTCACCCAAGTAAAGTCCCTGTTCAACTTAAGGTTGGCCTAGTAGAGAGGACAAATTCCAGTCTGTTTTAGTGATTTTGTCTCACTGATACGGAGTTGATTGTAAATACTTCCAGTTTAAACCATTAATAAAACTTTATCTCTTCAGCTACATAACATCAGCAGGGCACTTGAAGACAGATATGACTTTAATATTCTGTCCGGCGTACGTAAAACTAAAGCATCAAGATTCTTATAGCAACTTCAAAAGAACAAAATATTTGTAAATAGGTCACATGAAACTCAGAAATAATCTAGCCTATTCTTATTTAAACAAAAATTATGAATCAGCTGCCAGTATGTTTCTGCCAGTGTAGCTGACCATGGTTTTTACCTGACCAACTGCTCTGTCTCTCTCCAGGTTGGTTAGCATTTTCTGTCTCAATATAGTCTGGTATTTTTCAGTCAACTGCTTCAGCATTGGCTCATATGATGCATAATGTGCCTTCAGCCTATGAACAATAAAAGCCAAATGTATTTTAAAGGATGACTGAGTTAAATCAGCAATTTCCATCTAAATAACTTTTCCCCCATGTACTATAGAGAAGAATAAAATGTAGAAAGGTCAAAACACAGGACACAGCTAATGTTATTTAGCATGCAACCACCCCACTGGAGTGCCAAGGAAAAATATTTATGTATCAGTTATTCAGTAATAGGAGCTGTATATCCTGCCACCAAAACCTTTTGAAGTAATCTATCCAGTTTTGTTTTGTGTTCAGCAACTCCCCTAATCTTCAAAATACATTAAATGCATTACATACATTAACCTTTATTAATCATTGCTTCCTTCTTAATCTTTGCTTCCTTCTTGTAGATGGATGTTATTTCATTAGGAGAAAGAAAAATGCAGATAGGATTTGACAACCAGTAGGCTACTAATTTAGAGAAATCAGCTACAATATGAAATTTTGTAGCATTAATTACAGTAGAAACTATATTTGGATCCTTTCATCAAATTAACAAGAAGCTAAGTCACCCATACCAACTCATGAATCAAAGTATGAGAATGCTATATTTTTCAGGAGAAATTGTTCAGCTCAATACACAACAATTAACAACTTCAAGAATATTGTGTTTTGCCAGAATGCTGGCAAAAAGAGACAAAACTGGGATTTTTCTTGCAGTAAGATAGACTGTAAAGTTAAAATGCATATAATGTGAGTCAGCCAAAATCATGAAGGATGTTGAGAGGTACTTAATTAACATCTGCAACTCCCAGGATTTGGCCCAAACCTTGTTTTAAAATTGATCCACTCCAGGAAGAGATTCTAAAGAATTATTACTGTTGATTGGTGATACATCTACAATGCAAAAAAAACAAAACAAAAAACCAGATCCCTGCAGCAGCCGATCTCAGAGCCCTAGTCAACTGACTTGGGCTCCTGGGACTCGCACTACAAGCCTAAAAATAGCAGTGTAGACATTTCCACTTGGACTGGCCCCTGGACTCTGAAACCCATCTGGGGGGCGGGAGGTGAGTCTCAGAGTCCAGGCTCCAGCCCAAGGGGAAACATTTACACTGCTATTTTTAGTCCCATAACATGAGCCCAACAAGCCTCAGTCAGTGGACCTGGTCTCTGAGACTTGCTGGCACATTTTTTGCCTTTTTTGGTTTTGCAATGTAGATGTATTGGTCAGTAACCTAACCTTGGACAGCAAGGAATGGGAGGTAATACTAGCTGAGGGAGAGGAGCACAAAATTTCCAGGAGCAGCAGCTATTCTGTAATGATGAAATTATGGAAATTAATATTAAAGAACTCATAGGGAATATTCATATAACAGTTTGAGTTTATTTGCACCTAAAGCAATTAAAATCCCAGGTAGAAAGCTCAAGTTTTCAGAAGACTATTAACAAGGATAGAAAAACTAATTAATGAAAAGACCACCTGACTCCCACAGGTACAACAACTTGTTACTGACGGATCTAGAAGATAAGACAACCTTGGTGGAAAAATTGATCTAAAAACCAGATATCACTTTGTAACAATGGGAAAATATCCAGAGGAAAGCCAATAGCTCATCTATTTGTTTAACCATTAAGGAAAATTACTACAAAAATACTTTACCAATAGTACTTCACTCCATTTAAAATAAGGAAAATATACAAAAAAGGAAATCATAAATCCTGCAGAAGATGATGTGGAGGAATTAGGGACCTCTCTCTATATATGGTGGGAATGACCTATGACTGTTTGCACTTAGGGTGGTGCGTAGGGTTCACATAGCTACATGTTGCCTGAAAGGCAGGCTGCATCCATACTCACTGCAGTGTGTAGTTACATGCGACAGTGAAAGGCTCCAGTAGTGAGGTACTACCAGAACCTTTCCCTGCTGCCGGAGTCTTTCGCTACAGCAGAGAAAGGCTCCAGCAAGTGGGAGGCAACAGGACACGACATTGCTAAAAATAGCAGTGTAAACATGGCAGGCACACTTTGGGCAAGTAGAGAGCCATGTAGGGTATATACCCTAGGGGTCAGGTGGGTAGGGCACTCTATGACCTAAGCAGTGTCTCACCATCTACATTGCTATTTATACCCATGCTAGCTGGGCATGCAACATCTGTATGCTACAGGCCAGTATAAGTGCAAACATACCTTAAAATGATAGTGTCTGGGAGGAAAATGTTACATAGAATTTTCAAGGTAACTAAAATTTAGACCACCCAGGGACCCTATTCTATTAGGTTACAGCCCAAAGGAGGTTATTGCTTCTGAAACCTATTAAAGCGCAATTATCACTAGCAGCCAGATGCTCATTTTTGGAAAATAACTGATCCCCAGCATTAGAGGCATGGAGGAGTAAAGCATTAGAAATCCTTTGAATGGATAAAGTGACAGACAGCTTTACATCAACATCAAGTAGATTTTATAATACATAGTTACCATTCTTTTAGACTCTGAACAGAATTAATACACAGAAAATGATAAGAGACTGACCAAACACTAATGGGTCTTTTAAAGGTAATAAATACGGGTAATGAATGAAATTAAATGCTTCTATGGAAAGTTCATATATGGTAATAATGATAAAATAAATTAAAAAAAAATTCTAGGGACAGGACTTCACCCCATGAACTCTATACACAAAACACTTCACACAGAACTCGATGGGACAAACTTTGTCAGCTGTAGTACAGCACCTGCAAGAAGGTATGCAATGTGATGCTCACACACCTTTTCAATACAAATTCTTTGACAATACTGAAGCTCCACTAAAGTATTTGTTTCCGACTCATATCTTAAAGCTACTTTTAAAAACATCTTCCTGCTTTACCGGATGTATTGTTGTCTGTGGGTTAGAGCACAGGGCTATGAGACACAAGACCAGTGTGAAATTTCCAAATCTGCCACTGACACATTGTTTGGCCTTGAATTACTCACTTAACCATTCTGTGCCTCAGCTTCTCCATAAGAAAAGTGGGGATAATACGGTGACCAAAACGCTCCCCTGTATTCACTCCCTACACACTACTGCAATGATACTTGTACAAAATATGCCTTGTGAGGTATCATTTGAAAACGAATAACTCACTGGTCAATAATATCATGGTGAAATGTATGTAGCAACATTATATGTAAAGTTATTAACATAATCTGAAATTATGACTGAAATGTGGTTACCAGACAAGTCTGGGGAGTGGATAAACCTGTTTCTTAAAGATAAAAAAACAAGCTGGTGCCTCTAGTCATATGTCAAAGTTGATGGGCAATCACTTGCCAAGTAACCATTTTTTGGCAAAGAAGGGGAGCAGTAACACATTGATCTATATTTTAACAAACAGTAGCATGGATCCTTTTTTACCATGAGACTCCTAGTCTCCATCCTCACAGCAGGAAGGAATTTTATCTAGGGGTAACCCGCAGGAAAATGCATTTCACAGGGGGACTAGACTATAAAGTGAGGGGCAAGAACACCCCAAAGCTTCTCTCCCTACCTATCTCTCTTTCTTTTTCACCTAAGATGACAAAGGAAGCAGCCATTTGACTTTGGGAGAGATCCTGACCTGCAATTTTGTCAGCCCTGTGGCTGAGAGCAGGAGCGGTGCCAGGGTTTTTGCCGCCCTAGGCGGCAGCGCTCCTCCTCTGAGCATTCAGGGGGCCTGGGGTGTTCAGCGGTGGGGGTCCTTCCGCTCCGCATCTTCGGGGCACATCAGCGGCAGGTCCTGGAGCAAGTGAAGGACCCGCCGCCGAATTTCTGCCGAAGACCTGGAGTGGAAGGACTCCCCACCGCCAAATTTCCGTTGAGGGCGGCAAAATGCCGCCCCCCCAAATCCTGCTGCCTCGGCGACCGCCTAGGGTCATCTAGTGGAAGCGCCGGCCCTGGCTGAGAGTATGTGGTAAGAATTTTACCTTGAACCAAGTCTGGTTTGTTAAATTTAGTTAATAAGAAAGCATTTTCTCTATATTTCTCTTGTAACCAATTCTGACTTTAATGCCTTATAATTGTACTCACTTAAAAATCTCTCTTTGTAGTTAAATACATGTGTTTTATTCTTTAATCAAAACTAATCCAGTGTTGTGAATTATTTGGGTAACTCCAGTTAAAGTAGCAAATTGTTGTATATTGTTCCCTACAGGGGCAATGGATCTAAAATATCTGAATTGTCCTGGAGAGAGCTGGACAGTACAGAACACATGTTCTGGGGGGGGAAATTCAGGACTAGGAGTATTGGGGTCACCCTGCAAGTAGTAGCCAAGGCTGCTGGAAGCCAAAGGGTGGCTAGTGTGCTGCTGACAAGCTAAGAGTTGCTGAACCAAGTTGGAAGCTACAACAGCAAAGCACGGTGAGGTGCCCAAGTTTTCAGGGGTGACACAGCCCCTCACTGATCAGGATTGCACTCCAGACTATCATAAATATCACCTGCCTTTGGGAAACATTTTGAGGTGTTCACATGAAAGATGCTGTTTAAATGCAAAGTACTATTTGCTTTTATATATTTCCAATCCTTCTCCTTCATTCTACCTATCAATGTCATAATGTACTTCTTTTTGTTTCTTTTGGACATTTTTGCTGTACACAAAAAGAAGTATATTATGACATTCTAAGATTAGCTCAAATCATTGTCAAGAACAAGAACTAATGACATTTAAAAAAAGAAGACTGATTTAGTTGTATCTAACTCAAGTTGAAACAAATAAGTGAGCTTCTTCAACCACCATGAAAAAAGGGAATTGACAGTCAAGGAACGTTACATGCTTTATGTACCAAAAATAGTTTATGTATGTATGTCTCCTTTCTGTGCATCCTAGGAAGTTTCCTCCAATTTCTGAAACACTGGAGACATTTGAATTTTAGAGGCCTAGGTTATCATTTCTCTGCTTTCAAGGCTGGGCAGAACTGCCAATTATCAGAACTGCTTTGGTCTAACAATTTAAAATTCAGCTATGATATTACATTGCCAAGTAACAACTCAAACTCACTTAGTTTTCTGTTAAGTGACAGTAAAAAAAGATCAGTTTGCTTACCTTTTAATATCACTAATGAGCCTGTTTTTTTCCTGGACCACTCGCTTATGGTGCATTCGATGGAAATCACGTTCTTTCTGTATTTTTTGCAGAGCCTCCTTAGCTTTGCTGCATGAAAACACAATGGGAAACTTGTAATTCAATCTCTCGAAGACTGGAACTTGGGAGACAATGATTTAACAAATGGATAATGGAATACAGAATCTTTTAACTCTGTCTACATTGTCCCGTAGTTGAGACTATAGTTGTGTGAATAGCACTGTGTACCAAAGTCCTGTACTGTAACTCCTTGTAGCGGGGTGGTCACTCCGCTCCGGCCCTGAAGGGGTTAAAGCAGCCCTGGAGAGGGCTGCAGCCAAGGGAAAAGGTAGGCTGATGGAAAAGCAGCCACAGCTGTGGCCAGCTTAATCAGGGCCCACCTGACCCTCTAGCTTCTTGAGAGAGAAGGACCTGGCTGCTTGGGAGTTGAGAAGGGTACCTGTGGTGGAGCAGTGCTGGGGAAGGGCAGAGGGAGCTGGGGAGCTCCAGCCAGGAAAACCCCCAGGCTGCAGGCCTTGCAAAAAGGGCCAAAAAGCTACTGGGGTGGCAGGGGGCAGCCCAGAGATAGGCAAAGGCAGCAGGTCCTAACCCCCTTGCCGATGATGAGTGGTTTATAGACTACAGTCCACCACAGGGAATGGGGGCTAGAAGATGACTGACAGTAGCCACTGAGGCAAGGTGGGGATAGAGGGTTGGGGGTTCCCCCAGGAGGGGAGACCCAGAGCAAGGGGGTACTGTGGTGGGCAGAACCCCTGGGCAGAGGGAACCGGGGTCTGGGAGGAACATGGGGCCAGCGGCAGGCGAGACACTGGCCTGCAGAGGGCGCTCCGGGCTGAAAAGAGGCAATTCCTGAGGCAACCAGCAGGAGGTGCCGCACCAGTCAGTCATCGCTCCGCCACACTCCCCCATGTGGATGCTGCAGATGCAATCTATGAGGTTCCTAGTTCACAGTAACGTAGTCCTGCTTGAAGAGGAATATGTTAAGTAGAAACCTTTTCGTTTCCCCTTGTGGATCCTGCTGGTGTGGTTACAGTGCAGCACTTTGGTACCCACTGCTACTCACATCCCCGTAGTCTTAATCATGGGGCAGTGTAGACAAGCCCTAAATCACTGATTCAAATCCATCCCAGATTGGTAGTAACTGAAATGAGGAGAAAAAGTTGGTGGTCTCAGTCTACTTTCTACTGAATTGTGTCTGCTCAAAAAAGAACACCATCACAATGCTACTCAGATGAGAAACTGAAGACTCTCATGAAGTCCTTGTTCATGAAAATGATCCTTCCAGGTGGACTGTGGTTCAGAGTGTGGAAAATCCCACTGCATCTGTAGCATTGCCAATTCTATCCCTTTTGGTGGGTACATATGTCAGAAATTTTAGTGTAAGGGCTGTCAGTCTTGCTCTCTTCACAAGCAGTTAACTAAACAGAATTAGAGGCGGGAAAAGCAGGGCCATTTATAGAACTAGGCTGGGATTGTCAAAGGAGCCTAAGGGAGTTAGTCACCCAGTTCCCACTGAAATGCAATGGAATTTGGCACCTAACTCCTGTAAACTCTGAAAAACCCAGCCCTAAACTTTGAATCATCTGTAATATAAAGAGGAACCTTTTAGAAACCACGCATTCTCACACCAACATCTTGCCTTACCTACACACTGTATGCAGCACGTATCATTGTATGAAGTGCTGCACATAATGAAAGAGCAAAAACAACAAAAACAAAAAGGTGTTTTTCTCTGTGGCAAAGGCAAGCAAACTTGTTTGGGCTTTTGGTGCAGTGGGAAGGAAGTCAAGCAAGGGTTCTATTTTTTAAATGATTATCAATTCTGAGGAAGGTTTTACACTTTGACAGTCTGACTTCAGCTGCAAACAGGGTATATAATTGTATGCACAGTTTTGAAAGTCAGGACCCTAATCTCTTGTGCCACAAGTAGATTAGATTCCTATTTGTAAAATGAGAACAATAGATTTCCTCACATGGACACTGTAAGGCTAACTTAACTGATGTTTGTAAACCATATAAATATAATCAGACTTAAGGCTCTGGTAAGTATTACTATTATTATTACTACAATGCATATACAACCCAAAGATCTACACATCCAGTTATCATCACAGTTACCCAATACATTCCCACCACATCAGGTGCTAGAAATTTTATAACTCTTTGCAATACATAGTGGTTGGGGCCCTCTGTGGTTAAGGGCACATTAAATGTGATTACCACTAGAGATATGCACACACAGTCCATAGCCTCTGTTTAAACAACATGGGAAATGGTTTAAAATATCTACAGCTGCAGGTAAATATAGGCTCATAGGACTGGAAGGTGCCTCTGAAATCAAAGGCCAAAGCCTAAAGAGATTCAAGGCATCTCAGATCACCAAGATTTAATATTCCAACTGGCTTTGAAACTGTGATATATGACTTGACTGAAAAGTAACTAATATACAAAGAAGGTCATATCTTCAGCTGGGGTAAATCAACATTGAAAACAATGGAATTATGCTTCTTTACCCCAGCTGAGATCAAATCCTCCATGTATATGTTAGTTAAATAGATGGATTTAAATCAACAAATAAATCTCAATTAATGTATTCAAATACATTGTTTCAGAGTTAATGTTTTCAACATTTCCTTATTTGTACACTATATAGCTAGAGACAATATCCTTGCTATAGCAAAAGAAGTGTTACAGCAGAAGACAAAGCTACTGCCTTGCCAACCAATCAGAACTTGACTTCAATGGAACTATACTGATTTATACAAGCCTAGAATCTTGTCTGGAAAATACAAGGGACAGAAGAGGAGAATGAAGATTGTTGGGTTTTTTTATCTCTACATTTCTACAGTCGCAAAATAAATGCAATTTTAAGTTTGATTTCCATGACTTTCAAATGTTTAATTTTTAGAACTACAACACTTCATTTAAAAAAATATCCCTAAAATTATTGATATGCCTAAATTTCAGTTTAACAAAGTTTTTGCATGGTAATTAATGTTTGTGGAGGTATTGTTGGAGTAGAAGGGGCATTTCTGCACACGTGCCATATTTCTTTTAGTGTTTTCTCTAGTTATTTCAGTAGGCCGATAGAGGCTTTCAGACATTGGACAGCCGATTAAAAATGTATTATTTATTGTGCACAGGAATTGAAACTGATCAAGAATTTCTCTTTAAATGCTGAAAATCCATGGTGAAATGTGTCTGAGTAACAGTTAGGAATCTAGTAAGTGTGTCTACAGTTGCTGTACAATCATTTTAATACTGTATTAAAACAACAACATTACATTTCGTTTTAGACACTAAAGCTCTTCCTATGATGGTTAAACAACATTAAAGCAGGAGGAAATTGGTTTGCAGTCTCTTACACTCGGCCCCCATACTGGTGGTGTCACAAATAATGTCCCTTTTCAGCAAGATGATTGTCAAGAACAGCAAGCTTAGAAACAACAAATTTAATTAGAAGCTATTTTCAAATACATTTCACAGCGATGCATCTCACCATGAAAACTTTCTGTCTGATACATTGAGTATAATGAGTATTATCGTCTAATCAGTCTAATCAGCACTCCCCCAGTATGTTCAGCTGGAAGCATTTAAAAATTAAGCTTAGTATCACCAATGGGGAAAAAAGGCTGAGCATAGAAGTCTTCCAAGTGAAATATATGGTATAGTATATTTCACCCAGCACTGAGACTTGGGATATACAGGACAGATCCTCAGCTGGTGAGCAGTGTCATAAATCCATTGAAGTCAATTGACCTGACAGTTTATACCAGCTGAAGATCTACCCTGATGAGTCAGAAGTTCGTTATTATACTGTGCAAACGAGGAGCATTCTCTCTTCTACAGAGAAAAATCTGTAGACAATACCATCAAACGGACAAAAATATCAGAGGGCTAACATTTTGCTTTTCTTTCTTTGACTGCAGCTTGTCACTCCTCCCCTACCTACTTAAATGGGAGTAGCTGGTTGCCTGGTTCCCACCCAGACACCAGGGAGGCTGCACAGAAGAATAAAGGGATGGTTTTACTCACAGTTCATCTCCTAATAAAGCCCATTAGATATCAGTGCAAATCAACATTGAACACAAATGCAGAAAAGAGTTATCAAAAAAAGACTGCAGTGTAGTTCACCGCTGCATCTCTCCATTATACAGTCTGAATGTAAATTACTGAGGGTATGTCTTCACTACCGGCCGGATCGCAGGCAGCGATCCATCCAGCGGGGATAGGTTTATCGCGTCTAGTTTAGACACGATAAATTGATCCCCGAGCGCTCTCCCGTCAACTCCTGTACTCCAGCTCGGCGAGAGGCGCAGGCAGAGTCGACGGGGGAGCGGCAGCAGTCGACTCACCATAGTGAAGACACCGCAGTAAGTAGATCTAAGTACGCCGACTTCAGCTACGTTATTCACATAGCTGAAGTTGCATAATTTAGATCGATACCCCCCCCCAGTGTAGACCAGGCCTGAGTGTGATTACTGTGTATCTTGTAAAATCAGCTACTGTGGATCCATATGCACAGATACAGTCAATAAATGTATACATATATATTTACACAGATACCTACTAAACAAGACCTAAAAACAATAGAAGTTTTACATTTGAAAGGACTACAGGATCAGGTGTATAATGAGGAATTATTCTTCTCCTTTACATACCAACTTGTTGCAATATGACAATTTGTAGCATTTTGATACATAGCACGATATGGTAATTTTTCATCTATCCCTACATATTACATTTTCATAATACTGTGGAGTATTTTGTTGAGACTACTGGATTTTAAATATTATCAACTAAAGCCAAACAAACTGACACAAAAGAAATTCAGACTCAGCTCTCCAGACAGAGCTGAGAGATACTTGGTAATTTCATTCAGCTTTCATTCAGGACCTCATCCATAAGTGAGAATGTGCAGAGGCACAGAGAAAATAGAAATGTATTAATTCCATTAAGAGTTTGATTTTATTTTATCTGGAGCATTTGCTGTTTAAAAAAAAGAAGGCATTAAAACTAACATACCTGGCAGCCAGTTTATAGTTTTCCAATTCCTTCTTTAATCTTCTGTTCTCCATCTCCAAATGCTGATTGTAGGTGTACATATCTGGGACAAATCCAATATCTTTACGTTCAATTGCACCTTTCTGCATCAGTTCATACCTAGCATAATATAAATGGGTAGATGTTTTACTTTAAGTTCCTTTATCTCCCCCACAGTGTTTTCCATCCCATGTTCACATTTACATTAACTATAATCACTAACACACATAGCTGCCTTGTTGAAAAATTCTTGTTTATACTCAGACTTAGTGATTTTACCACTCATTATATTATGCCCTATTTTTGTCCCCTTCATTTTAGCACTTTTTCATAACATTTAAAACACATTTTATTTGTAGCATACTGCCTTAACCTCAACAGTTGTTCTTTTCCTTCCTTTCTTCTGGTCTATGCTTTCAAAAGAAAGCGTAAAAAAAAATATTCACCTCAAATTGTACCCCTTTAAAAGTAGCAGTTTCCAAAGATACATGCAGTCCTTTTAGGTCATGTAGTCTCAAACACACGCTTGTTTTTCTGAAGGCCTCTATGACTCAAACAAAGCTATGGAACATGTGGATGAATGACCCTATCAATTGTCCCAAGCATAGAACTCATAGTTTACCTGGAAAAATGTCCCCTTCTCCTTCATTTTACTAATAGCACTCTTTCGTATCAGTATTACATTTTTCTCCTGGATTATTTTGGAATCAGCTAATCACAAACACATTTCCCATTGCCCAATGTGATATTTATACATTTTTTTTATTAGCAGGCCAAATCATGAGCCTACGAGCTTCTGTGATGTAGAACTCTATAGCCTGTTCTGTGTGCCACAATTGCAGACCAAGCCATACCTTAGGCAGTGAACAGTGATTCTTGGGTAGCCATGGCGGGAGGGATAGCTCAGTGGTTTAAGCATTGGCCGGCTAAACCCAGAGTTGTGAGTTCAATCCTTGAGGGGGCCATTTAGAGAACTACGGTGAAAATCAGTCTGGGGATTGGTCCTGCTTTGAGCAAGGGGTTGGACTAGATGTACTCCTGAGGTCCCTTTCAACCCTGATATTCTATGATTCTATGTACATTTGCATAGTACTCATGCAGCCTCTCAGTCATTCTTGCAACAGTGTCTGTGACTTTACCCAATCTAAGTCTAAAACTCTTTAGAGCAATTCAGCCCATGGGGATGATGATATTGGAAATGCAGAACCACCCAGCAGAAGGGCAAGTTCCACTTTGGCTCGCTGACACTACGAAAAGATAGATTATGCTATCCACGAGAGCAGCATCTCCTAAGTGACTGCTTCTGTCAGAGTTCAACTTGAGCTAGGAGTGAATATGAACCTCAAGATTTACCAAGACATTTTAAAAACACATCCACACACAAACTCAAGATCCTATGGGCTCCTGTTAACTCAAGGTGCCTCTGTACCAGAAGAGGTAAAGAAGTTTCCCAGGTTCCACAGCCATAGCGACTCCTCCCTAGTGCACAGAGGTATAGTACATTGCTTTCTTGGCTCTGATTGGGTAATCTGGCTCCACTCTCAGGGACAGTGGAGCAGATCCTCAGCTGGTGTAAATGGCCATAGTTCTTTTGAGGTCAGTGAAACTATGCTCCAATGAGCTGTGCCAATTTACAACAGCTCAGCATCAGCTCAATGGAGCTGTATCAATTTACACCAGTTGAGGATCTATCCTACAGTCCTTGGGTCCATCAAACCTGATTGCCATAGAAAGATGTGTTGCAGCTGAACTTGCTAGAGGAAATCATATCAGCATGTTTTGCCTTCCCAAAATGCAAATATAGTGAATTTGCACAAATTTTGTATGCAATTATTATGCATGGCAACATGCAGCAGAAATTAAAACTAGGAAGGATATATTGTACACTAGCTCCTGAACTGGACTCAAATAGCAGGCTTCAAATGAATAATTATAACGGTTTTCAGATCAATAAAACACATTGGAGAAAGCTAGAAGTTCTGTAGACCATCCTACAGAGGGTGTAATCCATTTAGATCAGCTATCTCAGCGACTGAAAAAAATATGTATGTTTACTACCATTGGAAGGTTTCAAAGGATGAAGGTGAATGTTAGAAATTATTTTTTCCATGTGTATGTGCTCTGCCAAGGTCAATTGCTTATGTGGGACTTCTGGGTTACCCATGGTTTCTCATAGGAGTAGGCACTGCCATTCATAGCTAGGAATGAGACTGTCACTCATGCATCTTTTTACCATCAGAAAAGTGATGGGATTTGTGTTATCCTTGAAAATATTCAATAGTATTTAACCAAAGCTAAATTAACACTAGCATCACTTTTAGTTTTCATATCCAAAATAAGCTTTTGATATTAAATAGGCTAACCACACTACCCAAGGTATCCTACAAAGGAACTATGACCATATCATGTCATTGTTTTTTTAAGTAAAGCTCACATAAAAGTCAAGGGCTCTTTTTGCCAAAAGCAATCTCAGCCCATGTATGGCTTTGTCATTTGATGCTAATAAAACATTGGATAATCTAGCTTGGTAATACTTGCATTTTATATTGCGAAAACCATGTTTCAGGAATAACTTTAAGATGGCACCAAACAGCTTATTTTAACTCTAAAACCTCCATTTTGTCCTGGTCTTATAAGTTTTTTTAAGTTTGCTCTGCAACACAAGGCAATGCTTTCCCTTTTCCTCATTATTTTTTCATTTAGCACTAGAAATCTTGGCAGTTACCACACAGAGTAACTTTCTAATCCAGCAGTGGGGAGTCACAGTACCAAAGGAAAGATAATGTTTAATATGAACCTCTCTCTCTTCCTTCAGTTAATAAGCAGTGTAATATCAGATTACTGCATGAACTGGTCTTTTTCCTCTATGCGCTTTCTATCTAGTTGTATTAACTTTTCATTCTCATGGTCCGTGGAAGACCTGAAATATTTAGGAATCACTCTAAGAAACCCAAATTAGTTAGAGTTAATATATCCCTGCTCTTTGGTAAGGTAAAAATGAATCTTAGAGCTCCCTTTTTCAGTATGGGGTAGAGGAAGAGAACAATTAAAATTAGTCTCATTATCTTGGTTGCATCTAAATTATCTAGGACACTATTATATATTCTCAACATTCTCTAACAAGAGTGATATTTTCCAACATATCTAAGTGACTTAATAGAATTTGGGTTCTTAAGACATTTACATGCTATTGAAAATTCCCAGCCAAAAATCAATCAGGGCCATACTGTACTTTCCTTTTTAATCAGAACTCTCATTTGATTTCAATGGAACATTATGTCCATTTTACACAAAGGAAGAATGATGCATACAGAGATTATGGTCTAATTACCTCATTTTCAAGAGGTGCCACTACTGGACTCATGGCTGATCAGTGCATCTGAAAAATTCAGGCCCTGAATGCCTCAGGATGGGCACCCAAAATTAATGGTAGCTTTTGAAATTGTAGATGTAAGTCACAAAGGAAATGTCTGGCAAAATCAGGAATTAATACCAGATCTCCTGACCCCAATCCACCACCTTAGATAAAAGTCCATTATTTGTGTTTCACAACTTCATGTTTCATAATCAAACAAACTCAAAATCTCAAATGAAACTAAGCTGCACACCACCAAAGTATGGACCTCGTGTAATCTAATAGATGGGATATGTTCATAAATACTTTACCAGCTAAGTTAAATGTATGAGTAGGGCACACTATGAACAGCCATTATTAAATCCGGGCTCAGTGCGTCAAGCCCTTCACATGAGTTGTCCCCTGCCCAATTAGATTTGCCAGCTGGTACATGGTGGGAGCATTACAGCCATGGCCTCTCCCTTTTCTGCCATCTTGATCATGATGGGAAAGTATTAGGTGCCCTTCCCCTTCTCTACCTAGAACTGCAATCTGTACAGCAACACCACCGCTGGACAGAGGAGGAGAATCTTTACTCTTCTGTACTGCTCTGCAAGGCTGTGTGTTAGGGACAGAGTTGATATATAGGATTTCTTTATTTTTCTATCTCAGATAATTGCATAACTGCTGGCTACACTAGCTAGAAACCTATGAATGTCATGGGGTAAAACCATCAATACCACCAGTTGGAGATTCAATTTATATATACTCCTTTTGTCAGACAAATTTCTCAACAGAATGCCCTAGCATGAAAGCCATCAACTTTCTATATGAAGATACATAGGACATGGATAATTGATGAAGTTAGCTTCTAGCAGAGCTAAGAACCCTGAAAGAGATTTTTCAGAATTAATTGTATTTCATTAAAATTAACATGCTCTTCTCCAAGACAACCATTAAAAACCCATGTCTCGTTACCTTTTCAGTGAAAAGAGGGGGAAAGCATACTGCTAGAGCAGAAAGTGTGTTTAGGTCTTACTATGTTAAATTTGGCTGGTGAAAATTCATAGAGTATTTATAGCTAGATAGTTCTCATTCTTTTCTTTTAAAATTGGGAAAAGGAATTGTGAAACAAATTAAAGTGTGGTTAGAGCCAGACATACATAGTACAGGTGGCCATTCTTCAAGCTCTTCACCACAGCTTAACTCGAAGTAACCCAAGTACCTATGACATGAGATTCTCAAGAAGACAGACCACCAACTGTGAGGGTATGATTTAAAGCCCACGGTGTCTACCCTGAAATCATGAAATTCAATATGCTTGGAATACAAGCCATAAACAGATTCAGGTCTCCACAAATGTTTTGAAGGAATTGGGTGATGTGATGATTCTGCATTTGTTAGCTAATGTATGTGGGGACTGATTGATTAGCACGATAGTTCATCTTTGGATATCAGATAAAATGTTCAACACCTTTAATATTTAAGATGACATGCTGTCACACTACCGTTCTTATTGGAAATCTCAGCAGCAAGGCCAAGAAAGAAGAGAGCATAGAAGTTTGATTACCTCTTTACCCTCAGAGTAGCCACTCCAATTTATCACTGAGGCAGATTAGTGGAGACTTGCAGTGCCATGCTGTGCCTGTCTCTCTCACACACAGCTTCAGTACAGCTGGATAAGACTTATATATCGATTAACTGCAGTTCACCTTAGCAGCCTTACATTAAACACTCAGTAGCATGAATTTACAATACAGTGAAAACATCATATGTAGTGACTAGTATATACTAACTACTAGGGAAAGATTTTGTTTACTTCTGATTTAAATTATGTAAAGTGCACTCTGACATTAAAGTTATAGGTGCGCTAGAATTGCACGAGGTTACAAACACAGATATTTAGATAAAATATATGGCTTTAAAGACCAGAATGGGTTCCTCTGAATTCCCTCCAGTGAAGCAGGCAAATCTGTGTCCTTTGTTTTCCTTCAATAGAGCTAGATTTTTAATGTATAGTCCGGCCAACATAGGCAACACATTGTTGCACTGCCCCTTGCATAGCCTGGGTGGGAGATTGTGACTCATTCATAATCGGGTTTCTCTGCTGCGCCAGGAAGGAATTATGCTGCAGTAGGTCTATACTCAGTGTAGCAAACTTTCCCCCAGTGTGCTGGTGCAACTGCACAAGGGAGGACATTGCAACTCTACGGAGTCTGCTTTCCACTCACATTGCTAGCCCATAATACATGTAGCCTATACAAAAGAGAGGGCATGCTTTGCACACACACTCCTACAGTCTGGCATGGCCACATAAGCCAGTCTATGATTTTGTCCATACTAAGTAAAGGTAGATTAGCAAATTATTTATCTGTCCCCCAAAGTACTTGGAGACTGCCCATCTTTCACCCAAAGGCGGAAACACAACCAGGTAAACTGAGGAGTGCTTAAAAAAATAAATCAGTGATTGCCAGTTATGAGTTTTCTGACCAAACATAGTAAAAACTAGATGAAAACTGATCAGTAGCTTGCAATGAGCTCTTTGGGACTGGGGAGCCCATATCAATGGATGCAAAGATCTACAGTTAATCTGCCCTACTGCTTCATTCTCCAGAACTGTCAATCCAATACCATCAGCAAGCAAAAAGGCATTACAAAAAGTTTGGGGAGTCAGAAGAATAGAGAACATACAAGAAGTTTATGATATTTTGCAATATTCCATAAGTATTTTCAAACCTGGTTTTAAATTCCCCAGGAGTATCATTAGAATAGACATGTTACGTGTACATGGAGATTTGCACAAATAAAGTACAATATGATACAGCACCATTCATTACAATGAAGAAAAATAGTACTTATTTATCATTTGAAATAAGACATCAATATGAACATAATTTTTTTATATATATATCCAGACAGAAAGATATTTTAAAAGTACTCTATTTTCTCAAGTTGCAATATAAACACTAATAATTTTGTCTAATTTAATACAGCATTAGATCTTAGATAGACTATTACATTTAAGAGGATCATTTGATAAATTAGTCAAGCTCTTTTGGTGTAAATGAAAGAAGTTCTCAACTAATTATTTTCTCATTTTAAATCCCATTAGGACTTGATCACAGCATGGCTCAGCTGTACATTAGCAAGAGGAAGGTACCAGTTCAAAGAAGAACTTGATAACACTAATCTGCTCTCACCTCTTTAACAGTGTAAATCAGCAATTTAAAACCAGTTTAAAAATCACTTGCTAATATCATAAAAATGTATTGCAAAGGAAGTGTCTTAATACTCTAGGACTCGATCCTGAAAATCCTTACTTATACAAGTAATATCATTGAAGTTAAAGGTATTGCCCATGTGAGGAAGAACTATTCATGTGAGCAAAGGTTTGAAAGATCAAGCCCCTAAATTAGGGTCTGATCCTCTTCTGTTTAGAGTGAATGGGAGCTTTGCCATGGACTTGAATCCAAGCAGGATATGACCCTTGCAAAGTTTCAGTTCCATACAAAAGCTGTCATTCATATCGGACTAGTATTAGCTGTCTTTTGCCATCAGAGTTACATATCTGATATTAATCATCAACTGCTTACCATCTAAGAGTTACACAGGCTCCTGAACGGTGCTCTTTCATTATTTTAAACACATTCATGCAGACATTGTATTAAAAAAAAAATGCAGCATAAGCTCCATAGGCAATGCCTGCCTTTGGAAACTCTGCATCAGTAACACCAGTGTCTTACAAGTGGCTGGGGCTTGGTCCAGGTCCAGTGAACTAGACACAATGACTCAGTGAGTAATAAAACAAGACGTTTCAAGCCTTAAATATATGTTTCTTAAAAGTTAGATTTTTCATTATGTGAAAAAGACAACTCTTTTTTCAAATTGCATTATTCCAAAATAGCTTGTCAAACAGCCTAAAAAAACCCAAACAAACAACAAACCCCAAAGAAATCCCCCTGGCCTTAAAAGAAAGACTAAAACATTTCAGGTAGATAGGATCTGCCCCTCCCACCCAAATTACTTGGAGGATTTGAAACGGGCTAACGGAAGCGGTATCATTAGAATCTTGCTACCAGAGTCACCCCTATAGATCCATAACATATCTCTCTCTCCCCCACAGAAGCTTTGTCATTCTGACAGTTAATCAGTAAACAAAGTATATGACTTGGAATATATATTTTAAAAGCAGTCCATGGAACTCCTATACAACTCCTCTGCTTACAAATTGTGGGACAAAAAAAAAAATCTCTGAGAGCCACTTAAAAAATACAGAAAAGAGACCAGAAGTAAGTAGTCACAAGGTCAATCTTCTGAGCATTATTTGACTTAAATTAAAAAGACAAAAAATACAAGGGTAGCCATCACAATTTTCTAACTAATGCAAATGATTAAAGTTGTGATCATTCTGCCTCAAGAAATGAAGTAACTGTTCAACAGAACATGCTCCAAACACTTGGACAAGGAAACTGCTATATGCCAGGTTTTCATAAGTGCCCAGCACCTAAATAAAAGTGCCCAGATTTTCAAAAGAGAGAACAGTGGAAGCTTGTGGTTTCCGAGAACTTCTGGTCACTTCATTTAAGTGTCTAAATAGGAGCCACTGGGGTTCAGCTCTTTTGAAAAATCTGGCCCTAAAATGATTGTTTCCATTCTCAATCTAAGCTTATTTTCTTGAAGAGAAGGTTTCTCAAAATAAAGTTTGACTTTTTTTGAAGATAGACATTTAAAAAGTTTTACCATTCAGTTTGGAAGCAGTCAAGGGTTCTGACCATCCCCATTCTGACCAGAAAATTGCAAAGAAAGTCATCCACAACTTCAGGTATTTCAGACACTGAATGCTTAGAAGTCAGAACAGATTGCTGAGCCTGAAATTAAAAAGTTTAGTATTTGTTATTTTAAATATGTGCAATCCCTGAAAAAGATACAAGAACCCATTACTTCCTAGCCTATAATCCAAACCCAGGGCCACCCTCCATCCAATAGTCATTTGAATAAAACAATGCAAGACATCTAAACCATTTGTGTGAAAGTGTGATGCTATGTATAAGAAAGGTGACCATTTATATCACTGTTACACTTTGTATAAGATTTATGGAAATTGTGTATCATGTAAGGCATCAATGGAAAAGTTACAATCAAATATAATTATCCTGGTTAAATCCACATATGTTTGTATTTGAAGTTATGAATATTGGCTGTGCTGTATTCCTGATGATTGATATCCACCAGATGGATTTACATCAAGGCTAGAAAGCTATGTACTGATGGCCCATCAAAGACACTCAGCTCTCACAAGGGGCCATTGAAAAAAAAACTCATCCCACATAGTAGGTCTTCCTGCAGATGCCTCAGACAGTGCGATGCCAATGACGCACCCCTGTGATTCAGCAAACCACGTAAAAACATGGGATATGCTCATGTGGCCCTGGACTCCATCTTGGGCCAGTAATTTTCCACACGCAGGGGCTATGAGTTTTGTTTGGGATAGTAACATAAGAACAAACATACTGAGTCAAACCAAAGGTCCATCTAGCACCGTATCCTGTCCTCCGACCGGGGCCTATGCCAGGTACTTCAGAGGGAATGAACAGAACAGGTAATCGTCAAGTGATCCATCCCCTGTTGCCCATTCCCAGCTTCTGGCACATAAGGCTAGGGATACCATCCCTGCACATCCTGGCTAACAGCCATTGATGGACCTATCCTCCATGAACTTATCTAGTTCTTTTTTGATCCCTTATAGTCTTGGCCCTCACAACATCCTCTGGCAAACAGTTCCACAGGTTGACTGAGCATCATGTGAAGAAATAAAGTATTTAGTTTGTTTTAAACCTGCTGCCTATTAATTTCATTTGGTGGCCCCTAGTTCTTGGGTTATGAGAAGTAGTAAATAAAACTTCCTTATTTACTTTCTCCACACCAGTCATGATTTTATAGACCTCTATCATATCCCCCCCTTAGTCATCTCTTTTCCAAGCTAAATAGTCCCCATCTTATTAATCGCTCCTCATATGGAAGCAGTTCCATACCCCTAATCATTTTTGTTGCCCTTTTCTGAACCTTTGCCCATTCCAACATACCTTTTTTGAGATGGGGTGACCACATCTGCATGCAATATTCAAAATATGGGCATACCATGGATTTATATAGAGGCATTATGATATTTTCTGTCTTATTAGCTATCCCTTTCCTAATTATTCCCAACATTCTGTTCGCTTTTTTGACTGCTATTGGACATTGAGTTTCAGAGAACTATCCACAATGATTCCAAGAATTCTTTCTTGAGTGGTAACAGCTAATTTAGACCCCATCATTTTTTATGTATAGTTGGAATTGTTTTCCAATGTGCATTACTTTGCATTTATCAACATTGAATTTTCGTCTACCATTTTGTTGCCCAGTCACCCAGTAAGTTTCCAGACACATAGCAGAGGATATAAAAGACCCCTGAAATATCTCTACTTTGCCTCTTTCCTGCTCAAAATCTCTAGTCTGGGGATTTACAACTAAAAGGAGCATCTTGAACTATGGACTGAGGACCTTCTAATCTTTTGGAAGTTACCAGAGAGACTTTACAAGCCAGAAATCTATTTCATCACTGCTACAAACCTCATAAGGACTTTGCAATCATTTGTAAGTATATGATCTATTAACCATTTATAACTCTTCTTTTATTAATAAATCTTTACTGGTTTACTAAAGATTGGTTGACTGTGATATTGGGGTAAGATATGAAATATATTAACCTGAAGGCATGTGTCTGATCCTCTGGGATTAGTAAGAATCTCACATATGGTGAATTAGGTTTTCATTAACCCCTCACTACATTAGCTCCCATCCAGATAAACAGTTCTAAGGGCTGGAATGCCTACATGGAACTATTTGGCTTCTAGTTAATCAGTGTGGTAGTGCAGAAGCTCTTTTGTTACTGGCTTGATGAATCTAGTATCAGAGTGGTAGCTATGTTAGTCTGGATCTGTAAAAAGCAACAAAGAGTCCTGTGGCACCTTATAGACTAAAAGATGTATTGGAGCATAAGCTTTCATGGGGGAATACCCACTTCGACAGATGCATGTTATGGAAATTTCCAGAGGCAGGTATAAATATGCAGGCAAGAATCAGTCTGGAGATAACGAGGTTAGTTCAATCAGGGAGGATGAGGCCCTCTTCTAGCAGTTGAGGTGTGAACACCAAGGGAGGAAAAACTGCTTTTGTAGTTGGCTAGCCCTTCACAGTCTTTGTTTAATCCTGAGCTGATAGTGTCAAATTTGCAAATGAACTGAAGCTCAGCAGTTTCTCTTTGAAGTCTGGTCCTGAAGTTTTTTTGCTGCAGGATGGCTACCTTAAAATCTGCTATTATGTGGGCAGGAAGGTTGATGTGTTCTCCTACAGGTTTTTGTATATTGCCATTCCTAATATCGGACTAGTGTCCATTTATCCTTTTATGTAGGGACTGTCCAGTTTGGCCGATGTACATAGAGGGGCATTGTTGGCACATGATGGTGTATATAACTTTGGTGGATGTGCAGGTGAATGAACCAGTGATGTTGTAGCTGATCTGGTTAGGTCCTGTGATGGCGTTGCTGGTGTAGATATGTGGACAGAGTTGGCATCGAGGTTTGTTGCATGGATTGGTTCCTGAGTTAGAGTGCACCATAGCTGGGTACAACGGTAATGGGTCTCTGCAGGGGCCAGGTGAAGGTGGTTGGGGCTCAGCGGTAGAGGAGTGGGTTTGGGGGAGATGGAGCTCAGCAAGGCTATGGGTGTGGGGGAGGTCCAGATGCAGCTGGTGGAGACTCAGTAGGATGGGAATCCAGGTGTGGGTGGCTTATGAGGGTGGTCCATGTTCAGGAAGAGTGGGGCTCTTTGGGTGGGGGGGAGGGACTGTGAGTGCAGAGGGGTGAGGCTCAGCGGGAGGGTCTGGATGCACAGAGGTTGGGTGGATGCGGGTACAGGGATCCCTCCCCCTGCAGCAGGAGGGGGGATGGGTGCAGGAAGCAGAGGGGGGAGTGGAGTTCCTTCATCTGGGGGAGAAATCTAGGGGTGGGGTGGGTCGGCTCTGGCCTGGCCCCACCTGCTGCGCATTGGAAGAGGAAGTCCCGCCCTTCCCAGCCCAGCTAGGAGTACCAGCTGAGCCCAGTACAGGGTAGGAAGCACCTCCTAGGTCTTCCCTAGTCCTGCCTCTTGCCCCACAGTGATTTACCTCTCTGCCAGCTGCCCTAGGGCCCTGAAACATACTGCTGGGGAGAGTTGCATAAGTGCTCTTGTGGCTTCCCTGTGCTTCCCCCTCAGAAAGTCATTTTTCTGCGGGGAGGCAAAGAAATCTGCGGGGGACAAATTTGGCACAAGCACAGTGGCATGTTTTGTGAGACTAAAATTAAGACATTTTCTCATCTCCTACAAGACAGCTTACGCCAAGTTCTTCCCCCAGCATTTTCAACCGCTTCGGGTGAGACCCCTTCTCATAGGATCGAGCCCACTGACAATTTTTCCCCACACAAACTGATGGAATACCTACAAGATCATCAGTACCCCAAATATAGTTTCAAAAGTTTGATATATTACCCTTAACAAGCTAACGCCTGCGGTTTTCCTCTTTGAAGGTGCCACAATCTTTCATTAGCCTGAGCTGAATGCTATTGAGTGGGGGCTCATTGTGAAAAGAGTGTTACCTCGAAGAACGGCAGTTATGGAAAAAAGGTAACTGTCTTTTCTTCGAGTACTTGCTCATGTCCACTCCGTATTAGGTGACTCCAGTACCTCTGGAAGTGGGTAGCAGTTCACGGACATGTTGATTGCAACACAGCTCTGCCGAACCCAGCGTCGTCTCTGGCCCGCTGAAGAATGGCATAATGAGAGGTAAACATGAATGGAGGACCACGTTGTGGCTCTACAGCTGTCCTGGATAGGGATGGGCATCAGGAAGGCTTCCGAAGATGCCTGCACTCTCATCAAGTGGGCTCTGAAAATCGACGGCTGAACCTCCACCAAGTCATAAAAGGTCCTTACGCATGAGGTAATCCAATTGGAAATCCTCTGGGAGGACACTGGGTGGACCCTTCATCCTATCCGCTGTAGTGATGAAGAGTTGAGTCAATTTACGGAAAGGCTTTGTACATTCTAAGTAGAAAGCCAAGGCCCTCCGAACGCTCAAGGCATGAAGACGCCTCTCTTCACTGATCTTGTGCGGTTTGAGACAGAACACCAGGAGGAAGATGTCCTGGTTCATATGGAAGGTGGAGACCACCTTTGTCAGGAAGGCCAGGTAAGGCCACAACTGAACCTTATCTTTGTAGAAGACTGTGTACGGAGGTTCTGAGGTCAAGGCTTTAATTTCAGAGACCTGTCTCACTGACATCACCACCACCAAGAATGCAACCTTCGATGACAGGTGGGAAAGGGAGCAGGAACCCAGCAGCTCAAAGGACAGGCCAGTGAGCCTAGAGAAGACCACGTTAAGATCCCACTGTGGGACAGGGGCCCATACCTGCAAGAAGAGTCTCTCCAGCCCCCTCAGGATTCTGACCATCATGTCATGGGAAAACACTGTCTGTCCTTGGATCAGTGGGTGAAAAGCAGAGATGGAAGTGTGTGCCAGGCCCTGGTTCCTCAAATGGAACAGGTAGTCCAGGACAGCCTGTATGGAGGAATGCGAGGGAGAGATGCCCAGTTCAGACGCCCAGCGGGAAAACCTCGTCGACTTGGCCAGGTAAGTAAGTCTAGTTGAGAGCTTCCTACTTTCCAGGAGGACCTGTTGGACTCCTTCTGAACAGGTCTGCTCCTCGGGGTTCACCCATGCAGCATCCACGCCGAGAGGTGGGGGTGTAGAAGTCGACCAGGGTCCTATGACAGAGGTCCAGCTGGT